TCACCAGACTGACCAAAATATCAACTAAAGACGCCCTTCTAAGAGCTGTAAGAAGAAAGAAGCAAGTGACATAAAAGGGAAAGCCAATTCGAACAACACCAGCCTTCTCTAATGAGACTTTACAAGCAAGGAGACACCGCAGCCCCATTCTCACTCTTCTGAAACAAAACAATGCCCACCCTAGAATATTATTCCCTGCAAAACTAAGCTTCATATATGAAGGAGAAATAAAGACATTCTCAGACAAGCAAAGTCTCAGAGAATTCACCAAGACAGAGACGCCAGCCCTACAAGAAGTACTCAAACAGTGTTACGCACGGAACACCATAATAAAATTCACGAATTAAAACAACCAAAACCAAAAATTAAAGGCCAGATAATAATGGCTCATGAGAAATCAAGCAACAACATCCAACCAAAAGAATGAACAGTAATCTACCTTACCTATCAGTTCTCTCAATAAATGTGAATGGCTTAAACTCTCCACTCAAGAGACACAGGCTGGCTGAATGGTAAGAAAATACAGGCCAAGTATATGCTGTCTTCAGGAAACACATCTAACCTGCAAGGATGCATATAGACTAAAAGTAAAAGGGTGTAGATCAGTATTCCAGGCAAGTGGAAACCAAAATATGGCTGGCGTGGCAGTTCTAATTTCAGACAATTTAGTTTTTAAAGCAACAAAAGTAGTGAAAGACAAAGAGGGACATTATATAATGGTGAAGGGCACACTTCAACAAGAAGAGATAACAATTTTAAATATATATGCACCCAACTTAGGCGCACCCAGATTCATAAAGCAAACCTTACTGGAGCTAAGCAAATGGATTAATAGCAACTCCATAATCAATGGAGACTTCAACAACCCACTGACGGCACAAGACAGATTCTCCAAACAGAAAATTAAAAAAGAAATAATGAACTTAAACAAAACCCTAGAACAATTGGGTCTGGCTGACATCTACAGGACATTCTACCCAAAATCCACTGAATATACGTTCTTCTCATCAGCTCACGGGACAGTCTCTAAGATTAACCGTATCTTAGGACACAAAGTAAACCTCAAAAAATTTAAAAAAATAGAAATCATACCATATACCTTCTCAGATCACAGTGGAATAAAAGTGAAATCAACCCTAACAGAAACTACACTTTCTACACAAAAACGTGGAAAATTAAACAACCTCCTACTAAATGATTACTTCATAATAAGAATTAAGATGGAAATAAAAAAAATTCTATGAAGAAAATGACAATGGAGAGACAAGTTATCAACGCCTCTGGGACACAGCTAAAGAAGTTCTCAGAGGAAAGTTTATCTCCATAAATACCTATAACCAAAAGACAAAAATATGACAAATAGACAATCTAACGAAATGACTCAAAGAGATGGAAAAAGAAGAACAGACCAACCCCAAACCAGCAGAAGAAGTGAATCAACCAAGATCAATCAGAACTAAACGAAATTGAAAACAGGGAAGCTATTCAGGAGATTAAAAACAAAAAGTTTGTTTTTTGAAAAAATAAACAAAATTGGCATACCACTGGCCAATAACCTGAAAGCAGAAAAGAGAAATTCTAATTAAGCTCCATCAGGAACAAAAAGGAGTATCACAACTGATTCCCAAAGATCATAAATTATACAAGATATAATTTATAATACTATAAAGAAATATTTATGCGCACCAATCTGGAAAATGTAGAGGAAAGCTGGAAAATTCTAGGAAACACACAGCCGCCTAGGTCAAACCAGAAGAAATGATTCCCCTGAAGACCAAAATCAAGAGCTGAATAGACACAGCAATCCAAAAATCTCCCTAAAAATGGAAAGTCTCGATCCACGATGGTTCACACCCAAATTTTCACCACACTCTACAAAGACAGGACTGTACCTATCTTTGGAACTATTCCAACATTGAGAGACATGGACACCTCCCCACACCCTTTTACTGAAAGTGAATTTACTCTGATACCGCATAACCAGAAAGGAGTGCAACAAGAAAAACGAAACTACAGACAATATCCTAATGGATTAGATGCAAATATTTTCTAAACAATCTTAGCTAAACGAATCCAGCGCTTAGTCAAAAAAGGGCTAATCCATCACAACGCAAGTGGGTTCATCCCAGGGATGCAGGGAGATGCAGGGATGGTTCAACACATAGGTAAAATCTATAAATGCAACTCACACGATTAACAGAAGCAAAACAGAAAGACCAATGATATACATCAATAGATGCAGAAAAAGCTTGTTGACAAAATTCAGACAACCCCTTCATGATACGAACACTTAAGAGAAATAGCGATATGAAAGGACATTACCTAAAATGGTACAAGGCACTATAGTCGTGTACCCATACCAACTTCATACTGAATGGGGAATTGAAACATTCACTTAGAACTGGAACCAGACAAGGCTGCTCACTATCTCACTTCTGTTCACATAGGCTGTAAGTCTCTGCTACAGCAATCAGACAGGAAATGGAATAAAGTATCAAATAGGCAGAAGGATCAAACTTTACACCGTTCTGCTGGGATATGATATTATATCTAAACCCAATATTCGACAAGAAACTCTGGAACTGATCAATGAATTAGTAAAGCTCTAAGGATACAATCAATACCAGAAATCAGAGGCATTCATATACCGCCAACAACAATTCTAATTGAGAACCAAATCAAAGACTAATTCCCTCTTCACACATAGCAACAAAGAAATTAACAGTACCTAGGGATATACTTAACCAAGGAGTTAAAAAGACTCTACAGGGAGAACTATGAAACACTGCGAGGAATGGAAATAGCAGAGGATGTAAACAGATGGAAATCAATTCCACATGTCGGCTCTGGACTCGGGCAGATCCAACATCATGAACAATGTCTATACTACCCAAACTGATCTACAGATTCAGCTGCATCTTATTAAAATCCCATCTGGATCTTCACCTAGATATAGAAAAGAAATATTTTATGCTTCATATGGAACCAAAGAAGACCCGAAGATATCAAAGGAGCAATTCGTACAGCAACACACCAAGAAATGGAGGCATTTAATATGCAGATATCAGAACCTATACTACAAAGCGTGTAGTAATTAAAATCCAGATATGGTATTGGCACACAAAATATAGGAATATTTGACCGAGTTGAACAGATGTTGGACCAATCGGTGATATAAAATCATCCTCAAGGTAGCCAATCTAATCTTGACAAAGCAGACAAAACCATACGCTGGATAAAAGCATCCCGTTTCAATAAGATGGCGCTGGGAAAACGTGGATAGCACCGTGAAGGGACTGACATAAAATCAGGACCACACTTTCACTTCTCACAAATGTTAATCAACTCACGCTGGAGTAAACAGACTTAAACCTAAGGTATGAAATATTAGAATTCTAGAGGAAAAAGTTGGAAACACTCTCCTAGACCATCGGCCTGGGCAATATGTGATTTCATGAGAAGATGAGTCCCCAAAAAGGCAATCCAACAGCAGCTACAATAATAAGGACATGATCAAACTTACAAAGCTTCTGCACCGCCAAGAAATAGTCATGAAAGGTAACAAGAAACCTCGACAGACATGGAGAAAAATTTTGCACCTATGCTACCAATAAGGACTGATTAACTAGCAGTAACACACGTCGAACTCACGAAAAATCAGGGAGAAAAAATCAAATAACCCCATTAAAAAGTGGGCAAAGGACTTGAACAGAAATTTTCTAAAGAAGACAGGAAGAATGGCCAACAAACTATATGACAAAAGCTGCAACATGCTCTGAATCATCAGGAAATGCAAATCGAAACCACAATGTACATTAACTCCAGGAATGGCCCGTAAAAATCCAAAAAATGCCTGAAAAGAACACTCCTACACTTGGTGGCACTGCAAAACTAGTTCGACACCTCGTGTGGAAAGCAAAGTAGAGATCCTTAAAGCTTAAAGTGAATCTACCGATTTGATCCGCAATCCATTGCTGGCATCTACCAAAGATCCAATGACACTCCGCAAAAAAGACACCTCACTGACATGTTATAGCAGCACCAATTCATATTCATGCTGTGGAAACAGCCGAGTGCCCATCAATCCAAGAATGGATTAATAAAATGTGATATGTATACCATGGAGTACTATTCAGCTTAAGAAACATATTGGTGACATACGCACTCATCTTATATTTTCTGTTAGAGCTGGAACCCCATACTATTATAGTGACGTTTCCCCAAGAAGTGGAAAACAAGCACCATATACTCACCAGAAAATTGGTATTAACGAACAGCCCTAAGTGTCACATAGGTACTACACGTTTTTAATAGGGTATTGGGCAGGGTGGGAGTGGACGGCGGGATACTACTTTATAATGAGTGAGAGTGCACATCTGGGGGATGGTCATGATGGAGACTCAGACTTGTGGGGGGAGGGGGGGAAATGGGCATTTATTGAAACCTTAAAATCTGTACCCCTATAATATGCCGAAATAAAAACCAGAAAATAAAAAAAATAGTAAAATAATTACAAACTGACAAAAAAAATAATAATAATATTTATAGCAGTACTCCTTCCACATCCAATGCTGGACAAACAGCTGCCTGCTATGTTGTCCATCCCATGAACTGCTCCACTCAAAGCTTGAAAGACCTTTTCACTGACCCCAATCCAAATTACTAGATATACTTTTATAAGGCTTTAAGAATGATAAAGATAAAACTACCACACCATCATTGCCTTTTCTAGAAATAGTAGCTCCTTCCACTGAGTTCTGATAGTATTTTATTTATAATATTCTTAGAGTACTTAGCATATTCTACTTTGTATTATACTTATTTATCTGCATATCTTATCTTGCCCCCTAAATCATAAGCTCCATGAGGGCAGGAACCATGGCTTATTCAACTATATAGACTCAGTAAATTTTTATAAAACCATGTTTTTGCCTGGCAATGCTGAATGACTAAACAAGAAAAGAATAGCAGCTCCTTAAGGCAGTAGTTGTCAGGCTCACCTGTATCTCCACCAACCAGTCCACAAGAATGGCCCTCATGTCACTGTTGATTTCAGTCTGCCTTTTCATGTATTTTGTAAGTATGAACATTTCCTGGCAGTAATGAGAAATAAATGTTGATAAATAAACTCTTCTTGTAGTTCAAAATTGTAACTTAACAATTAACTTCTCCCTCACAGTTCTATTCTTTTTTTTTTATTTCAGCATATTATGGGGGTACAAATATTAAGGTTACATATATTGTCCATGCCCCTCCCCAAGTCAGAGCTTCAAGTGTGACCATCCCCCAGATGGTGCACATCTCACACATTATGTATGTATATACCCATCCCCTCCTCCCCACTCCCACCTGCCCAAAACCTGATAAATGTTATTCCTATATGTCCACTTAGGTGTTGATCAATTAATGCCAATTTGCTGGTGAGTACATGTGGTGCTTGTTTTTCCATTCTTGGGATACTTCACTTAGTAGAATGGGTTCCAGCTTTATCCAGGGAAATACAAGAGGTGCTATATCACCATTGTTTCTTATAGTTGAATAGTACTCTGTGATATACATATACCAGATTTTATTAATCCACTCATGTATTGATGGGCACTTGGGTTGTTTCCACAACTTTGCAATTATGAATTATGCTGCTAGAAACATTCGATAACTATTTTCAGCTGGTATCAGGGGCAGATCAAAGTATCCTTTTTCAGGCAAGTTCCAATTATCCTCGGGAAGTGGGCACATGTGGTATTCAAGTGTCAGAGCGGATATCAAAGAGTCCAGGGGGTGGGGAACAGGGCAGAAATACACCTATGGCTATAAACGAATTCCAGAAAGGTTCTTCCCCTTCTTTGCGATTCAATCTAAAGCACAATAGCATGCTATGTGGAGCAGTGCTTCTCAAACTTTAACACACATATGTACCACTTAGGGATCTTGTAAAACTCCAGATTCTCATTTAGAAGATCTGGGGTGGGGCTAGGTTTCTGAATTTCTAACGAGATCCCAAGTGAACTGATACTGCTGAGCCAAGGCTTACACTTTTAGGATAACAAAGTTGTCTCTTACTTTCTCCAAGGTATACTTGAAAAAATGTGGGCTTTGGAGTCAGTTAATCAGTCACACTCTCTCTAGAGAGAGGATGGAATATTCACTCACCCTCTTATATGTGGCCTGCTAAAAATTCTAGTTGACAGATAATTTTGGTCCCATCTGCTCTGTTGTGAGAGACAGGAGAAACTTTGGAACTGATGAACATTATGGTAAATGAGACTGGCAGATTTCAAAGGAGAAAGGAAACTTCACCAGGTTGGATAGATGAAACAAAGGATATCATTTTACATACAATGACAAAAACATGCATAAAGTAAAGAAAAAGATCTCTAAGAACACTCAGAGACTACTTGACTATTTTTGTGTCTGAGACTGTTTCCTTAGCAATTAGAGGAGGAGGATTATGATCTTCAAGGTAATCAGATTTTAGTCCATATCCCAGCTCTACAACATACCAGTTATGTGACTCTGGGCAGTTTCCCCATCTGTAAAATGGAGATAACGACACCTACCCATTATGAAGTTGAGAGAATTAAGCAAGATAATGCCTAAAAATCCCTTAGTACAATGCCCAACTCATAGTAAGCTACCAATAGATGTTGGTTGTCACTATTATTGTTATTTTCATCATTATTACCACCCCTTTCAAACTGCATGTTGGCAATGGAATGATGAGGAAATGAGAACTAGAAATCATTGCCCACTTCTCAGCCACCTACAAACCTCTCTCTCCTTCATGTAACTGAAGATATCCTTGACATATATTGCGTTGAATAATGGATCACTGTTGTCCTTGTCAACATCTTCCAGTAGGGGGGTCATCGGCTTGGAAATCACCAAAAAAAAAAAAATATATATATATATATATATTAGGAGGAGAATGATTCTAAGGAAGACTTAACACATAAACATCAAGAATGACTCCTTTTTCCCCACTGTCATCTTTTTTTTCCTTTTAGAATTTTTTTAAATTGTTTTATTTCATCATATTATGGGGGTACAAATATTAAGGTTACATATATTGCCCTTGCCACCCCTCCCACCCCCACCATGTCAGAGGTTCCAGTGTGTCCATCCTCCAGGTGGTGCGCATTGCACTCATGATGTAAGTATATATGCATCCCCTCCTTGCCCCCCCCCCACCTGCCCAACACCAGATAAAAGTGTTTTGTGGGTTTTTTTTTTTTGACATTTTGGTTACATTTTATATCCTTGCCTCTCCCTAAGAAGGGTTAGAGGTATGTCATCTTTTGTTAAGGTTTCTCAAGCTTCATATATCCTAGGCCATAACAGAGTACCCCTTGGCCTTGCAACCCTCAACTATCTAGTAATCAAGAAATGCCTAGTCTTCCTTGTACATACCTGCTCCATTGGGAACAAGGCACCCTTTTTCCAGGTAAGCTCAAAACTCTCCAAGAAAGACATTATTATTTTAGCTACGTCATTTGTCTTCTTAGGTCCCTTGCTATGTCCCAATGCTTTGGTATGGCACAATTCATCTTCTTGGTAGCATTTTCCTCCTTTCTACACTTTTACCCAGGTTGTTTTGTATAGAGTAGGATATTTCTCCTCCTGCTTGCTAAATCTCATTCCTTCATTCTTCAAATTTACAACTTAAAGACCACCTTCCTTGGGAGATTCCCCAGTGAACTTTGCCCATTTTTGAAGCCCACTGTGATGCAAATTGTAATTACTTAGAAAGGCAATTTCCTGAAATTATGTAATCGCTATTGCAAAGCCCAAGTGTACAGTACAATATTCCAGGTCTTTGTGGGTATTCCTGGAATAAATACTTTCTGATTGCATAGGTCTATCACTATGCCAATCAGGAAGTCAAGAGATTCTACAAAGGCAACTTAATTTAAGAGAAAAATGCCACAGAGCCTGATAAATTTATCCCATATCATGGGTAACCTCAGGCTACAAAGGTAAGTAATAATTCTGCATCACCTATCATTAAATAAAACCAGAAATAAATATCAAGAAATATCATTCTCTCACTAGTTATGGGATTTCCCCCTCCCCTTCCCTCCATAACTTACTATATAGGGCTCAATTGCTTAGGAAGTCAAAAAACAAACAAACTCTGCCACCAGCCACATCCAGGACAACAAAGAACACTTCATCTAATTTAAGAAGAAAGAGAGACAAATACCTCTTTTGGTGTTCTCTTGCCTTGTGGTGCGAAAAGTTTATTGGAACCAGATTCACATGCACTGGACTTGCTGGTGGTACTGGACTTGCCTGTTTTGGATTTTGGGGCAGTGATAGACACATGTGGGTGGGTCTCAACTTGGGAGATAAATGTTTTCAGAAAGGTATCTTCCTTGAGAATGGGATTCTCATCCAAAGCCAATGACTCTTTGGAGGACAAGTCAGCTGAAGGTTTCTCATTCAAAGCTGATATCTCCGTCAAGCGGAATGCTTCAGTGATGGCAGGCTTCTCCTGCAAGACTAACGGCTTCTTGAAGAGGGCTTCCTTCAAAATGTTGAACTTCTCCTCCAAAGCTAACAGTTCTCTGAGGATGGCCTCTTTATCAATGCTGGGCTTCTCCTGCAAGACCATGGCCTCCTTGAAGGTCTCCTTCTCAATGCTGGGCTTCTCCTGCACAGCCATGAGTTCCTTCAGGGTGTCTTCCTCCTCAATTGTGGGCTTCTCCTGCAAGGCCAGGGCGTCCTTGAAGAAGGTTTCCTTCTCAATGCTAAGCTTCTCCCACATAGCCATGAGTTCCTTCAGGGTGGTTTCTTCCTCAATTGTGGGCTTCTCCTGCAAGGCCAATGGCTCCTTGAGGAGAGTCTCCTCCTCTAATGTAGACTTCTTCTGCAAGACAAAATTTTCCTTAAAGAGGATCTCTTTCTTAATGGTGGCCTTCTCCTGCAAGGCCAAGGGCTCCTTGAAGTGAGCCTGTGGGTCAGTGGTAGGCTCCTTGAGGATAACAACCTCCTCAATGCTGGGCTTCTCCTGCATAGTGAAGGGCTCCTTGAAGATACCCTCCTTCTTAATGATGGGATACTTCTGCAAGGCCAGTGGCTGCTTAATAAGGGACTCCTCATCACTGGTGATGTTCTCATACAAGGCCAGCTGCTTCTTCAAGAGGAATACCTCCTCCTGGACAGTGGGCCCCTTCTTTAAAGATAATTGCTTCTCTGTGCTTATTGCTGCCTCAGAGGAGGGCTCCTTCTTCATAACCAAGAGATTCTTGAAAATAGACTCCTCTTCAATAGTGCTTTTCTCCTGCAAGGCCAACAGCTTCTTTAAGGAGTCTTCTTTGGTATCAGTCTTCTCTTGCAAGACCAAAGTATTCTGGAAGAAAGATTCATCTTTGTTGGTAGGCTTAACATGAAATGAAAATAGCTCCTGAAGGAGGAATTCCTCCTCAGTGGTAGGCTTCTCTTTCAAGGTCAATAGTTCCTTAACATATGATTCTCCTTCAGTGGTAGACTCCTGCAAGGCCAATGACTCTTTTGAGAGGGATGCCTCCTGCTCAGTGGTGTGCTTCTCTTGCAATGTAGATGGCTCCTGGAAAAGGAACTCTTCTTCAGTTGTAGATTTCTTCTTAAAAGGAAGCAGCTTATAGAGTGACTCCTCTTCAGAGGTGGTCTTCTGCAAGACCAGTGGCTTCTTTAAGATGGACACCTCCTCCTGAGTAATTTTCTTCTTCTCTAAAAACAATGATGTATTGGTGAGGATTGCCTCCTCAATTGTAGGATTCTTTCTAACTGACATTGGCTCCATAAAGAAGGAATTCGTATCTTCTCCATTCATATCTGGCAAGTTGAACAGCTCTTGCCAGACAGACATAATCACCTGAGTGGTATGCTTTTCATTCTTTAGAGACACTTTTTCTTCTTCAAAGAACAATGGCTCCTTAATAAGTGACTTTTCTCTAGAGGTAGTTTTCTGCAACACTATTGGCTGCTTCAAACAGGACATCATCCCCTGAGTAGTATGCTTCTTCTTTAAAGGTAAAGCCTTATTAGTGAGGGTTGCCTCCTCAATGGTACGCTTCTTCTTAAAAGCCAAAACCTCCTTAAAAAGTGACTCCTCCTCAGTGGGAGACTTTTGCAAGACCAAGGGCTTCTTTGAGGTGAACACCTCCTCCTGATTGGTGTGCTTCTCTGACAGTGCAGATGGCTCCTGAAAAAAGGATTCCTTCCCAGTGGTAGGCTTCTTCTTAAAGGATGATGGCTCCTTCATGAGTGACTTCTCCCCAGAAATGGTCTTCTTCAATACTAGTGGATTCTTCAAGTGGGACATCTTCCCCTGAGTGGTACATCTCTCCTCTCTTAAAGGTAATGGCTTCTTCATGGGAGCTGATTCCTTGGTGGTATACTTCTTAAAGGAAACTAGCTCCCTAACAATGTTATCTTCACTGTTGATATTCCCCTGAAATGCCCATGGCTTCTTCAAGATGTCCATATCTCCCTGAGTGGTGCGCTTCTCTTGCAACACAGATGGCTCCTGGAAAAAAGACTCCTCCTCAGTGGTAGTCTTCTTTTTAAAGGACAATGGCTTTGTGGTGAGTGACTTCTCTTCAGAGATGGTCTTCTGCAATACTAGTGGCTTCCTCATGCAGGACACCACCCCCTGAGCAGTATATTTCTTCTTTAATAATAATGACTTCCTGGTGAGGTTTGATGCCTCAGTTTTAGGCTTCTTGCTAAAATTCATTGGCTCCAGAAAGAAGTAATCCTCTTCAACATCAATGTCCTGCAAGGCTAACTCCTCCTTCCGGCAGGACTGATTCCCCTGATGTGTGCTTAACTTCTTCTTTAAGGATAATGTCCTCTTGGTAATGTCCTCACTTTTATGTTTTACCCTAAAAGTCATTGGTTCTATAGCACACTGAATATCTGTATCAGTCTCCTCCAGCAAAGTTAGTGGCTTCTCCAATTGAGATATCTTTCTATGATATATGCACTTCTTTAAAATTAATGACTTCTTGATCGAGGTTGTCTCTTCAGTAGAGGGTTCCTCTTTTAAAATTAATGGTTTTTTGAAGAGAGATGCTCCCTCGGTAGTGGGTGTTTTAGAGATGGTGGATATCTCCAGAGTACATGGTTTCTCCACAATGTTTGGTGCCAAGGTGGTAGAGGCTATTACTGGTGGAGGTTCCAGTTTATATCTATAAAGGAAACAAGGTCTGAGTAAGAAAAATGTAGCTCCCAGAATCCTCACTTATCATCTCATAAGTTGCTATACTTACTAAAGGTATGAAAGGGGAAAGGACTTCAACCCCAAAAGACAGATTAGAGGGTAAAAAAGAATCATTGGGATCTCAAGAATGGAAAAACCAGCACCACATGTACTCACCAGCAAATTGGTATTAATGGATCAACACCTAAGTGGACATATAGGAGTAACATTTATCGGGTGTTGGGAGGGTGGGAGAGGGGAGGAGTGGATGGGTGTATACAACCATGATTAAGATGTGCAACGTTTGGGGGATGGACATGCTTGAAGCTCTTACTCGAGGGGGGAGGGAGGCATGGGCAATATAAGTAACCTTAACACTTGTACCCCCATAATACGCTAAAATAAAAAGTAAAAAAAAATCATTGGGTACCATGGTGAATCAGGTAAGTAGCACATTATATAGTTTCTATGGCCAAGATCCCTACACTTTTCTATAATTTTCTCCTGAAATCTGTTATGCTTTCTCACATATGATTACCTTCACTTATATTCAAAATATTTTATTATAATACTTAACACATTGTATGCATTATCTACTACTATATCAGTCTCCCTTACTAGCTGCATTTATTTTCTTTGTCTGTCACCATCACGCACCTAGTAAAATGCATGTTGAAATTAATATTGTTTGAAGGCTAATGAGAGAGGCAGGCTGGTTATTAATATTGGTGGTATCTAACCACATTCCCTTCACTGGGCTATTTAGGAGACACTTTCCTAATGGAGGCAATAAAAATACCAAAAATAGAAATTTGTCACATGTAACAGATGCAAAACTTTGTTTTGAATAGGATTTCATGGTTTGAATAGGATTTCAATTGGACTAATTGGTTAGTCCAATTAGAGTGACTAACCTAGTGAGACCAAATCATTTGAAGACTAGAAATCAGAATAAGAAAAGAGAGAGAATTGAAGGCAAATATAATCACCAATCTGAACAGGAAGAGTAAGTACTTCTAAAAGACCAGATATCATATGATTCAATTTATATGAAACATCCAGAACAGACAGACATATCCATAGAGGTATATCCATAACAAAAAGCAGATTAGTGTTTACCAGAGGCTGAAACAGGGGTGGGAGGCAGAAAGGGGGACAGGGAAAGGAAAGAAACTCCTAATAGATTTGGAGTGATTTTTGGAGGGAGGGTTGAAAATTTTCTAAAATTAGATTGTGGTGATGGCCACACAACTAGAATAAAAACCACTAAAGCTGGGTGTGGTGGATCATGCCTATAATCCCAGCTACTCAGAAGGATGAGGTGGGAAGATCACTTGATGCCAGGAGTTTGAGACTGCAGTGAACTATGATTGTACCACTGTACTCTAGCCTGAGTGACAGAGCAAGACCGTCTCTAAAACAAAACCATTGAATTGTTACAAAAACAAAAGAAAGAGTAAGTGCCTCAAAAGTTTCTGCCTGACCAGATAGGTTCCATGACCCTCCTGATAAGAACTTTTAGAGGTAGTCTTCAGGTAGCGTAGTTATGTTATGGTACAAACATGCATCCTGGAGCTACACTGCCTGGATTCAAATCCTGGCTCCTCTACTTACTAGCTGGGTGACCTTGGGAAAGTTAATTTTCTGAACTTCAGTTTTTTCACCTATGAAATGGTAATCATAATCATAACTCCTTCATAGGCTTACTGTGAAGATTCAATAAATTAATATGCTTAAAAACAAGTAAAAGAATGTTATAAACAATTGCATCCCAATAAATTAGATAATTTAGATGAAATGGACAAATTCCTAGAAAGATACAAACTATTAAGTGTACGAAGTATGAAATGTCCGATTTCCTTAAGTACTAAGTTTGACAGTTGATATCTCTGATATTTCACTTTGACACTTCTTTTTTTTCTCTGAGACAGAGTATCACTCAGTTGCCTGGGTTAGAGTACCATGGCATCAGCCCAGCTCACAGCAACCTCAAACTCCTGGGCTCAAGCAATACTCCTGCCTCAGCCTCCTGAGTAGCTGGGACTACAGGCATGCACTAGGATGCCCAGCTTATTTTTCTATTTTTAGTAGAGACAGGGTCTCACTCTGTTCAGGCTGGTCTCAAACCCCTAATCTCAAACAATCCTCCCACCTCGGCCTCCCAGAGTTCTAGGATTACAGGTGTGGGCCACCACACCTGGCTGACACTTCTTATTTTATGTTTATCATGAAGGTACATCCTCAGTCTTTCAAATGCACATTTTGGCTTTTGATTATCTTTTGAAGTTTTTTAGAGCAATTTTTGTGAAACCATGGATACGTCAAAAATTCATGTTATTTTCAAATATGAGTTCCATCATGGAACCAATGCAGCGCAGACAGCTCAAAATATCAATGAAATGTTTGGGAAGGATGTGGCTAATGAGCGCATAATACATCAATGGTTTGAGAAGCTCCGTTCCAGTGATTTTAATCTTGAAAATGAGCTACATGGGTGACCTGAGACCAAGATGGATAACGATGAGCTGAAAGCTGCAGTGAAAGCAAATCTATCTCAACTTACACGTGAATTAGCAGTTTGACGTTACTATTCCAGCAATACTGGACCATTTGAAACAAATTGGCAAGGTAAAGAAGCTGGATAGATGGGTTACACATGAATTAAACAAGCATCAGAAGACAAATCATCTCAAAGCTTGCCTTTCTTTGCCGTCATGACATAAAGGTGAACCATTTCTACACTGTATTATTACATGTGATGAAAAATGGATTCTTTTTGACAAACGCAAGCATTCAGCCCAATTACTAGACAAAGATGAGGTGCCCAAACAGTCCAAAACAGAATATTCATTTAAAAAGCTAATGTTGTCTGTTTGCTGGTCCAGCACTGGTATTATCCACTCCACCTTTATGAAACCTGGTCAATTGATTACAGCAGATGTCTTCTGCAACCAATTGGATGCAATGATGAGGATGCTTGTGATTAAGCAGCTGAGATTGGTCAATAGAGACAAGCAAATCCTCTTGCAAGACAATGCTAGACCACATGTAGCACAAATAATACTGCTCAAGCTACAGCAGCTGTACTTGGAAACTCTCCATCATCCACTGTATTCACCAGACCTTACACAAACTGGCTACCACTTCTTCCAGGCTTTAGACCACTTCTTGCAAGGAAAAATATTGAATTCTCAAGAAGCTGTGGCTCTTCCACAGGAGGCCTACACACCACCGCTCGTGCCTTGTCTCTAATGATCCCTGAGAAGTTCCAGCACATTTTGCGAATACTCAACATCAACATCAATGGGTGGTGGAAAATAGCTTTTGCCGTTAAGGGTGTGGGATGAAGATATGCCCATGTGACGTTGAGGAAAGCAAACAATGACCTCACCAAGAGGTCAGGAGAACTCAGAGAGGATGAGGTAGAACGTGTAATCACCATTATGCAGAATCCACACCAGCACAAGATCCCAGACTGGTTTTTGAACAGACAGGATGTAAAGGATGGAAAATATAGCCAGGTCCTAGCCAATGGTCTGGACAACAAGCTCCGTGAAGACCTAGAGTGGCTGAAGAAGATTCAGGCCCATAGAGGGCTGAGCCATTTTTAGGGCCTTCATGTCCAAGGCCAGCACACCAAGACCACTGGCCACCGAGGCCATACTGTGGATGTGTAAGTCTGTAGGCCTTGTCTGTTAATAAATAGTTTATATACCCCAAAAAAAACACAAACAAACAAAAAAACCACCAAGATGTGGAAAATTGCTTTTGCAATTTCATCAACACTCATGCTTCAGGCTTCTTCACTGCTGGCATAAACAAGCTACTGTTAAGATGGCAAAACTGTATTGATAGTTTAGGTGCCAACTTTGGTTAATCTGTACTGCTTCTCTGAGAGATGATAAACTATACTTTCAATTCGGAATCGGACATTTCATATTTAATGGCCTAACTGAATTCATGTACCCTACCATATTAATGGAATAAAAAACAAAACTACATTATCATCTAAATAGATCCAAGGAAATCATTTGACAAAAATCTAACACTCTTTCATGATAAAAAGCACTCAACAAACTAGGAATTGAAAGGAGATTCCTCAGCATGATAAAGGGCATCTATGAAAAACCCAGAATGATGTTTTCCCCTCTAAGATCAGGGGAAAGACAAAATGTCCAACTCTTTATATTTTTAGTCAACATTGTACAAGAGGGTCTAGTCAAGGAAAGTAGGCAAGAAAATTAAATAAAAGGCATCCATCTTAGAAATGAAGAAAAAAAATCTATCTGTATCAGAAGACATGATTTTATATAGAAAAAATACTAATACACACAGAAATTATAAGAACTAATAAAAAGTTCAACAAGGTTCTAGGACACAAGATCAATACCCAATAAACAAATGTGTTTTTATGTACTTACAATGAAAAATCTGAAAATGAAATCAAGGAAACAATTCCATTTCCAATAGCATCAAGAAGAATAAAACGCTTAGAAATAAATTTAACAAAATAAACACAAAACTTATACTCTGAAAACTGCAAAAAACTATTGAAAGAAATTAAAGATCTAAATAAATGGGTATATACCCCCTGTTCGTGAATTGGAAGACTTATTATTAAGATATCAATACTTCCCAACTTAATTTATAGATTCAAGGCAATGTCTACACAAATTCCAGCTGGTTTATTTGTAGAAATTGGCAAGCTGATTTTAAAATTTATGTGGAATTGCAAGGAACTCAGAATAGCCAAAACAATCTTGAAATAGAACAAAGTCTGGAAATTTTTTTCTTTTTTTATATAAAAGAACAAAATTTAAAGGAATCACACTTCCCAAATTCAAAATGCAATACAAAGCTGTAATAAGACAATGTGGTACTGGCATAATGATAGGTAACAACAGACATATAGATCAATGGAATACAATTGAAAGTTCAGAAAGAAACACATATTTATGTTCAACTGATTTTGACAAGTGAAGAAAGATTAGTATTCTCAACAAATAGTGCTGGGAAAACTAGATAGCCACATACATATATTACAGTAAAGTTAGACCACTAACACATAACACCAACCAAAATTAACTCAAAAGAGATCAAAAACCTAAGGGCTAATACTTTAAAACACTTAGAAGAAAACAAGTGTATCATCTTGGATTAGCAATGGTTTCTTAGATATGACATCAAAAGCATAAGCAATAAAAGAAAAAATAAATTGAACTTCATCAAAATTAAAACTTATGCTTCAAAGAATTTCATCAACAAAGTAAAAAGATAACCCACAAAATGGATGAAAGTATTTGCAACTCATATCTGATCAGGGACTTGTACCTAGAATACATAAAGAACTCTTACATGGCCAGGTGAGGTGGCTCATGCCTGTAATCCTAGCACTCTGGGAGGACAAGGCAGGAGAATCGCTCAAGGTCAGGAGTTCGAAACCAGCCTGTGCAAGAGCGAGACCACTTCTCCACTATAAATAGAAAGAAATTAATTGACAACTAAAAATATATAAAAAAATTAGCCGGGCAAATAGCACATGCCTGTAGTCCCAGCTACTCAGGAGGCTGAGGCAGGAGGATCGCTTGAGCCCAGGAGTTTGAGGTTGCTGTGAGCTAGGCTAATGCCACAGCACTGTAGCCCAGGCAACAGAGTGAGACTCTGTCTCAAAAAAACAAAAAAAGAACTCTTACAACTCAATAATAAAAAGACCAATAACTATACATAATTACGATATGTCAATTAAAAAATAACATTTTTAAAAATTTAAGAAAATAAAAGCACAAAAAATGGACAAAAGATCTACATAGACATTCCGCCAAAGAAGATATACAAATAGCCAATAAGCACATGAAAGATGCTCAACATCAAAAAACATCTCCAGAAAATACAAGGGCTAATAAAGATGTGGAAAACTGAAAACTCTCATACATTGCTGGTAGGAATGTAAAATAATGCAGCCACCATGGAATACAGCTTGACAGTTCCTCTATACATTCAACATAGAACTACCATATGAACCAGCAACCACACTCCTTGGGATATAACAAAAGACTTGAAAACAGATGCTCAAACAAAAACTTGTACACAAATGTTCATAGCAGCACTATTCATAATAACCAAAAAGTAGAAACTGTAAACAAATGTCAACTTGAAATAGCCAGTCCTTCAAGATGGATCCCAAGTGGCTAACTAGGAGCCAATCGGCCATTTTCTGACTAGAGGTCACACAAATACTCTGAATTCCTAGAAAACCTACACCTTTTTAACTTTAGGATTTTCAGAGCTCACCCGCCTCAACCACTTAGGGTTCAGCTGTCTCATCCAATCAGGGATCAGCTGCCTCAACCAATCAGAACTAAGTGAGCTTCAATCCTTCATTTGCATAAGCAAGCCTGATTGGGAACCTAGGGCAGGAATTTTTGCTATAAAACTGAGCCTTCCCACTTGGTGGTGGCTCAAGCCCATAATCCTAGCACTGTGGGAAGCAAAGGTGGGAGGATCCCTTGAGGTCAAGAGTTCAAGACCAGCCTGAGCAAGAGCGACTCCCAGCTCTATTAAAAACTTAGCCAGGCACAGTGGCACACACTACTAAAACCAGAAAAATTTAGCTGGGTACAGTGGTGCACGCATGTAGTCCCAGCTAGTCCAGAGGCTGGGGCAGGATGATCGCTTGAGCCCAGGAGTTTGAGGTTGCAGTGAGCTATGATGGGGCCACTGTAAACTGAGCCTTCCCTTTGTTCTCTGGGACACACCTTCATTTTACACAGAAAACTATGTCTCCCTGGCTTGCAAACTGTTCACTGGAATAAAGTCTCATTCCTCCAAATTCCTTATCAGAGAACTTTTGTTCACACAACCCAAATGTCCATCCAACTGATGAATGGACGCAGAAAATGTGCTGTATATATGCAACAGATTATTTGGCAATAAAAAAAATGAAGCACTTATACCCGCTATGACATGAACTTTGAAAACATTATGCTAAGTGAAAGAAGCTAGACACAAAAGACCACACATTGTATAATTACATTTATATGAAATGTACAGAATAGGGAAATCTATATAGAGACAGAAAGTAGATTAGTGGTTGCCTAGAGCTGGGGAGGACTGGGGAAATTGAGAGGTGACAGCTAAAGGTATAGGGTTACTTTTGGGGTTGATGAAAATGTTCTAAAATTGATTGTGATGGCTGCATAACTGTGAATATACTAAACACCATTGAATTGTACGGTTCAAATTGTCTGATATGCAAATTATATCAATAAAGCTGTTACAAAAATATTTAGTGATTATACTAATGGGATTATAGTGAGTTCTCAATAAATGGTAGCTATTACTGGTTCTAGTACTATTATTAGGGTCCATTCCAATGAACCCTGAATGAAGGGAAGAATGTTTATCGCATTTGTGAGGGTTTGTTTGCCTGCTAAAATCAGAATGATGAAAGAAATTGAAAAGAAAGTAATGCAGAGAATTAAGGTCAAAATATGCATACAAACTCCAGGAATTCCATTTCAGCAGGAAACCAAGTAAGGCTAAATTCTAATCTTCTTTCTGTTTGGTAATTAGCAAAGTATCTGTAGACCTAGCATTTTAATTTTCTAGAGTTCTCCAACCTTTTTACCTTACCCTTTTGAACTCATTCTTAGCCCTGCTATAGCCATCTATCTAATTTATTCAAATGCAGATTAGTCCCTGAAGAAGTAATTCCCACTGGAAAGAGAAGAGAATATAGAAAAGTCTCACTCTACTTTGTAAGTCATCTTTCAATAAAATTTTTCCTAGAGGTAAATTATTTTTCCAATCCTAAACGGGAATGCCTATCTGTACTTGCAGAACCTGTCAACGATTACCTATAATAGCTGGAAGACACATGTTTTTAGCCTAGAGAGATGGTAATTTCTCTCCAGTAGCAAGGGACAAATCTCCCCTAAAGTTTCTAATGCAATAAGCAGACTAGCAAGCTCCTGAAAGTTCCTTAAAAATTAAGCTACCCCCACATTCCCAAGCGCAGACTAGCTAAAACAGGGACTGAATTACTAAAAGAGAGAAAAGATGAGCACAAGGTCTTTTACCAAATTCCCCAGTGACAACAACTCTTTCAATATGCACAAACACCATAGGAAAAGAAAATGAAAAGAGCCCTATAACTCTTCAGCAACTACGGCTGGGTCCACCTCAGCACCCAGGGTTACTGTGATGGTCACCACTATGGCTCACTAAACATATTATCAACAGGGACAAAATAGGGGCAAAAGAATGTCACACACTCTGCTTTACCATCTAAACCAATGCGATCTGAGTCCCCTCTTACTTACCCTTTTAGAGTTACCTCAGTGTTTTCATCCAACTCAATAACATATGTGTTCCTGTTTATCTTCTTGAAAACATTTTTTATAAACTCCCTGTTGGCTTCCTTCTTAAGTTGAGCATGTTGACTTTGCAAAGCCTGCAAAAAAATAATTAATTAAATAGGTGGGAGGAGGGAGAAGGTGGCAGGGAAATTAAGAAAACCACAAATTACCTAATAGGTGGTTCTTATAGGAAAGTCCTGACCCACATGGACAGGTTGTTTGGGTGTTCCAGGAGTGATAATCCAAACATCTCACAATCAGTATGACACTGGGCTGACCAATCACAGTGGAAGCTAGCAGCAAACAACCAATGCATTAGTACTAGTATGTGTTGGCTAAATAGCAGCCCTAACTGCTTCCAGAGGATACAGGATGTAGTTCTGATCTCCATGCCAGGCATACTGGCTGTCAAACAACTGAAAAGATGCTTTGTTAACATCACATTCCACTTTGACCTCATAAATGTTCAGAAGGGAAAAAAAAGGCAATATGACTGGCTTTGCTGTCTGGGTATGCCAAGATCAATTAGCTTTTCAGGGTAGACCGCTACCATAAGGGTAGCGGTCTCTGAAACATCAATCCCATTTCATTGAGTGATATTTACTTCCCACAGGAATCTGGGGAGTTCCATCAGACTCTAATCCCAACTAACACTATTAAACAGTAGGAGAGATTATGGGACTGTAAATAATGTCAGTAAAAATAAACTTAAAATTATGCCTTTAAAATAAAACAAATTAGCCTAATTATATTTCAAATAAATACCCTAACCACACTAAAGAAAAAACAGAAAACAGAAGAAAAGAAACAACCAATCCAAGTAACTTACAAACACAGTATTTGACTATATACCCTCAAAGTACAAATTCTCAATTAGGATGGGTTTGTGGGGGTGGATATTGCTAATAAATCTGGAACTCTTTTTAGGTTTATTATAGTGGTATTGATGAAGTAATTTTGAAACTCTCTTAGATATATTACAGTATTAAGTAAATGTGTTGATGTTCTTGGGAACCAGGGCTGTCAATGTAGAAGGAAGAACATACAAATATGAATTGGGGAATGCAAGAAAGAATCTTGTGTGCTAGAATTGAGGCTGTATGAATTCATGATTTCTTAAATAGGTTTGTGTGTATATATAGCTGTGTATATACGTATATGTGTATATAAATCTGTGTATAAAGATATAAGTACACATGTGTGTACATTTGTATACATATACCTGCAGATATTTCCTAGCTTTGTATGCTGAAAGAACAGAAAAAGCAGATACCCCAGTAGCACACCTAGCACTGAGATCTTGGTTTCTAATACCATTCCCCACCAAAAGGAGTCAGAACTCCTTGGAGAAATAGTTGACTCCAGGGCTGGGACAAAGTAGGCATAAAATGAGCCTGGAACATCTGTTTATGCTAGAAATAAATGTTCAAAAAAATTATGAGAGCTCATCACAAGGACACAGTAGTCAGACTGAAGGAGATACTAACAGGCCAAATCTAGGACAAGTTGAGCACCAAAATAAAATATAATAATAAACAACCACCATAAGAATTCATGAGTCCATACCAAATTATATATAGGAGAGAAGGGAAGGCTTATGCCTGTAGAAGAATGCCCAGGAAAGACTGGTAAATTGGAAGCAAATGCTAGAGTTGGAAAAATCATAATAAAAGATTAAGGCAAGAATCATCAATGGGTGCTAAATCTAGAGGACATTTTGATGAAGAGCAGGCTATTTTTAGACTGTTAAGAGTATTTCCACAGACTTAATAGTTACGAAAGAGAAAAAAATTAATTGTAGAGTGGAAAAACCAGGCACTATCTTAATCGGGTGATCAAAATTAACATCATCAACAAGCGACAGATAGACATTGTGTGCCTCCAGATGTGACACCTTGAGGAGGACAGAAAGAACATCACCTACAGTATCTAGCCAAGAATGTATAAAATCATCTAATCACAAGGAAACAACAAACACAAAATGAGGACCATTTTATTTTACAAAGGGGAGAGTTGCATGAGATTATATCCTTCAAAAATAGTAATGCCATAAAAAAAAAAAAAGAAAGACCATGAAAATGTTCCAGATTTAGAGGCTAAAAAGATAAGCAAATCTAACACATGAATCTAGACTGGATCTTTTACTGGAGGGGGAAAATGCTATATGGGTGCTATAAGATCAACTGATAAAACTGGAATATAGACAATTGATTATATAAAACTGCTGTATTAATGTACATTTAGACAGTTGATAAGTGCCCTGTGATTATATAAGACAATTTTTCTATTCCTAGGAAATACACATGGAAGTACTTGGGGTAAAGGACCATGATACATGTAAGTGAATGATAAAGCTAGTGGCATAAAATGTTAACAATAGGTAACCTAGGTGAAGGGTATAAGGGTGTTCTTTGCACTATTTTTTTTAATTTTTGCAACACCTTGTAAATCTGAAGTTATTTCCAAATGAAATATAGGAAAAAAAGTATGTGTTTGTATCATCAGATCATAATAAGCAATTGTAATCTAATCCTTTTTAGGACCACAAGTCATCCATCTCTGCTTTTCAAAGAGTGTGGCACAATTTTCATTTTAATTTTACCTAAAGTTTTACAAACTCCCTATCCATGCCATCAAGATTCAGAATGAGAAAAGAGGTATATTCTTGGCAGGAGAGAGGTAGAGACCCCAATCCCCAAGGTGAAACTTTCTAATTGCCATTTGTGCAGGTTCGAAGCACTGATATTTTCATGAAGAGCTAGGCTCAAGCGAACCTTTATCTGTACTTCCCCATAATTCTTTCACCATGAAATAGGAGAATAGAAATGAAAGTCCTACTTACACAAAACCATATAGATAAACATGGATATAGGCCCTATTTCCTTGTCTGCTGGCTTAGCACCAGCTCTTATATATTATCGAAAGTCCTTTATCATTTCCCAGCCTGGAAATTATAAAGCAGGGGGAAAGAAAAACTCACAGCAGATTAACTAATTAAAATAGATCAATTCTTCTTGGCAGGCCAGGACCTCATTGTGGCAAATGTTGAGAAGAAGACAGAGATAGGGACAAGGAAACCTTGTAATACTGACAGAAAGCAGCAAAACATTATATAGGGAAATCCCCAAAATTCAGAAAGAAAGGAGCCTTCAACCCTCAAATAGATGAGCTGAGATATCAACAGAAATGCCCAACCCTAGGAATGACTTAGGTACATTGTAATGATGGAACTTTCTCTGGAAAGCACCAAAGACCCTTCAAGGTAACCAAGGTGAATCTTCAGAACTTGAATGCAAAAGGCAAATGGGCTTTCTGAGCTGCTGGAAAGTTAGAAGCAGAGATTACTGCTTGGAGATGCCTTCCTCCCCACTGCCTTGTCCCCATGAGGATGTGGCTGAACAGATACTGAATTTGGTTGGAGAATTAAGAGAGTCCTGGATACCTGCACGGGTTTCCTATTATTGTTACAGTTAATTTGTGTCTGTTCTTTCTGAATAGTATAATAAAACTCATGAAAAAGGAAGGACTGAGACATAGCAAGAAAATCAGTTTCTCACATACTGTGATGCCTTACTGCTATGGTCTGTGTCCCCCTAAAATTCATATGTCGAAACCTAATCTCTAATGTGATAGTATTAAGAGAAGAGGCCTTTTGAGAGGTGATTAAGTCATAAGGGCAGAGCCCTCATGAATAGGATTAGTTACCTTATAAAGGAGGCTCAAGGGAGCTTGTTTGCCTCTTCTGCCATGTGAGGACACAGCAAGAAGATGCCACCTATGAGGAGTGGGCCCTCACCAGATAATAAATCTTCCAGCACTTTGATCTTGGACTTTTCAGCCTCCAGAACTGTGAGTAATAAATTTCTGTTTTTTATAAGTTACCAAGTCTAAGGTATTTTGTTATAGTGGCCCAAATAGACTAAGACACTTACCTTGCACAGTGTCATTGTACTCCCATCAAGAACTCTGAAGGCCAAGGGAAGTTAAACTAATCTTCTGATTTGTAGCTACCTTATTTCAGCCAAGTTTCTAGATTCATGGTTAAATAAATCAGGAAATGAATCTAACCTTGTAGATATGTGTGGGAGGGGGACTCTTTCTACCAATCGATAGTAAGTTTTAAATTGGACAGAAAGACATAACTTAAAAACATGGTGTAATCTGCATGGGAAAGAGATTGCACTACCCAAAAGGTGGTCATGTAGAATCTAAAGTACAGGGATCCAAAGGAAAGAACTTTGCCAATGCTTATCTGATCCTGCCCAAGGGAGTAAAACATATCTAGTAGAAACAAGTATTCTGGTAGCCACGGAAGTATACTCTATTGTGTTGGGCAAAAGTAGCTCACCAGGCTTCTCTGTAGCCTAGATGAAACAGACTTCAAAACCAATAATGGGAAAATCCTCATCTGTAAAGTAGAGATGATTATAGTATGTACCTCATAGGGTCATATGAGGATTAAGTGGATTGATACAGGAAAAAGTGCTTAAAATAGAGGCTGGCATGTGGTAAGCACTTAGAAAATAATAACAACTGATATCTACTAAGACTCAAGATTATCTTTGGCCTGATTCTATATTCAATTAACAACAATTCCATTAATTCTAATTTTACTAGTACTTTACTAATCCAAGAAGGGAGGTGACTTAGGAGGGAATTCAAGAATTCAAGTCAAAATTGAGTTTTTGTATCTTCATAGTTGAAGACCAGATCATGGAACTGTGGTTCTCAGCAGTTCTGTACATTAGAAAGCATTTTAGATTGTCACTATCACTGGGCTTCTGCTGGAATTTAATGCCTAGGGACCAGGGATGCTGGCTGTGGTCAATCCTATAAATAGAAAAACTGCCCTGCCCAAAACACCCATAGTGCTCAAATAGATAAACACAGCCCTAGACTACAATGATTCCACCAAAGTACTTACCTCCAAGGCCTAAGCAGCCAGCTGAGCCATCTCTAAACTGTATCTAAATGTAATCTCATAGTTCTCATATTATCTACAATTTCATATCTGTTAATCACTCTGCTGCTTTCAGATAACTCTACCAATTGACCCAGATGGTATGTGCCAGTAGAAGAGTCCCTGCAGTTTTTGAAATTGGGTCATTGATGCCAAATAAAATCTGTTCTCAACATTCCAGAGAGGGTCAGAGTTTGGTAAAATGGAAAAATCCCTCAAGAAAGAGGTTGTCTAAGCCTTACACAAAACCACAGTAGGGGACTGGACTAGCATACTCACATTGGTCAGATCTTCAAAAGCTGATCTCTTTTTGAGTGCTCCCTGTGGTGAAGATGGAGATATCTTTGCTTGGTAATTCTCCCCCCTCTACAAAAGTAAAATAGATAAATGAGTATATCCAATTGGGAACAGTCTCTTAAGGGACTTTGTGTTATCTTCAGGGTTCAGCAGAAACACCAGAATCTCAAAGGAACCAGGGATGCACATGATAAATTACAACAAAAGGTCATTTTGGCACTAAAAGCTCCTATTTGAGTCCCTAAAGGTGGTAGTCACTAATGATGGGAACAAGTCTGCAAAGAGACGAGATGATCTTCAGTGTAACTCTCAAAATGAGCAAAATATAGCTTGGTAAAGCTAATTTTTCCTCTTCTCTCATATTTATAGTTATCCTATCCGAGATGAACCATTACCTCCCCCACCACTCCTAGTTATTCCTTTAATACGATGCTTTCAGGTAAATCAGTTTAACAATTTAACAAATATTTAATTATCTTTTATATTAAGTAGCTTTTTAAAGACATTTCCAATAAGGATAATAGTGCACATACCTATACACTGGTCCAGGATCTGTTCTTTACTAGCTGTTGACCTTAGACAAGTCACTTAATCTCTGAGCCTCAATTTTCTTATCAGTAAAATTAGAATGATAACCTACCTTAGAGTTCCTGAGAAGCAAATAAGAGAATATGTATTTTTAAAAATAGTCTGTATAAACTATAAATGGATGGAAACAGTATTTAAAAATGTGTAGTCTGATATGACTATAAACCTAACAGGGAAAATTTTGTATTTTAAGAAAAAAGTTTTGTAATCCAGATTAAGCTCTAATTGTTAGCGTATATAAGGGAGGGTCAGGGACAAGGATGAGGGGTGAATATTTTGGAGCAGAGGGAGCTTTCTTTCTAGGTATTCTGTATCTGTGCATGGTTACCTCACTCCCAGAATACGACCATCTTTATGGGGCTAGATGTTAGGGCAAATCACACTATAGGGCTCTTCTACACCCTAACAGCTTTTACTTGGTAAAAGTCTCCTACATCTCAGATTTTCCTTATGAAATTCTAAGAACCTGCCCTACCTATATCAGAGAGTTCTTATGATGTAAAGCAGGACGCTGGGATCAGACCATTTGCTTTGTTTTCCATTTAGGCCATTAACAAACAGTACATGGCACAGTAAGTGATCAGAAATTTAGAGAACTGGATTCATGATACAATAGACCAATCTGGTACAATAGAGTAATACTGGAAGAGCTGAGAAGAATTATTTCTGTTCTCTGATTAAGCCAAGACATAAGTAAACTATTAGTCTTTTATCTAGTTCATGATAAATAATCCTAGTAGAAATAATTAGCAAAATATAAAATATTATTTTCTCAAAAATTATCTAAGAAATAAACTGTCAGTCTGTTATCTAATGCCTATTTAATATTACTGGTAGAAATAATCAACCAAAAAAAATTACAGCTGAAACTGAACTCAGTAAAACTTAAGATTTGCAAAATGTGCTCTAAGAAAGTTGGATCTGGAAAAATAACTGCCACAAAAGAAAAGTTACATTGGTAGAATTCTAATCAGAAAATTTGATATGGCCAAAATCCCAATCAATGTATACAAGCTTTCTTGACAAATTTACATGGGAAATAAATTTGGTCACTCCAGGAAAATCATTTTAGTAAAACAAAAATGAAAATTATTAGCAAATGTTTATCTGTGCTGAGAGAAAACCAATCAAGGAAATTAAATTCATCTAATGTTTGCTCCAAGAAATACTCTCTTGATTACAATTCATCAGCGTTAGTATAATTATGATTACATATGATGATGAACACAGAACATCCCAAGGTTAGAATAACAATGTCAAACTACCCATAACATCCAAACAGTAGTGTAAAAAAATACACTCATTTATCAAATTTAATAGCTGTAAAAAGCATGATGAAATATTTGCTGATGTAATCTTCTTACCAGGAGGTACCAAATAGCCTCTCAGCAAGGTGCTTGGAGCTTCTCAGAGAAAGTAAGAGTGATGAGAGCTGAGTGTTGTTTGGTTTTGAGGGTTGTGGAAGTGGCCTTCATTTAAGCACTACATTTATGGGAAGAGTTCATACTTCCTTCCCAAGTTCTAATTTGCTGGTATTCTCCAACTACAAGGGCTGCCACCCATCCCCAATTTCTCAGACTAAACCAGACATATTCCAAAAGATCCAAGGGTGAGGATGGGTACTGAACCAACACAGGAAGAGACTATCTGACACACTGTTAAGATAGCTTGCTCTAACCTTTTCATATTGGTTATGATCACTGGGCACAATTTTGCTGGATGGAGATTTCTTAGTCTTGGGTTTGGAGCTTCGGGGTGGTAGTGGCAGTGGCATCTCTTACAGATTCAGCAGCGTCTTGTCCAAGGTAGAGCTGCAATCAGAAAGGGACTCTTTAAAACACCATTTACCAGAAACACCATAGAATTCTCTGGAAACTTGAGAAAACCTAATCTCTCTATAGCATCCCTAGGAGAAAACGGACTTTGAAGTTGGACAGATTTGTGTTCCAATCTTGGTTGTAACAAAATTAACCTTGGGCAAATGATCTAAAGACAATGCAACAAACTTACCACTATGTACCAGAAACTTCAAGCGATGGAGACATAAACACAAATCATAGATCTTATCCTGTAAGTATTCACATACACAGCTCTAATGTTAACAAAAATGTGACAAATGATTTAATAAAGGTAGATACAAAGTACTTGTTATGGACTGAATGTTCCCATCCATCTGTCCAAAATCCATGTTGACATTCATCCATTCCTTTTTTTTTTTTTTTTGTAGAGATGGGGTCTCACTATTTTGCCCAAGCTGGCCTTGAACTCCTGGCCTCAAGTGATCCTCCCACCTCAGCCTCCCAAAGTGCTGGGGATGACAGGTGTGAGCCACCATATCCAACCCATATGTTGACATTCTAACCCTCAGTGTGATGATATTAGGAGATGAGGCCTTTGGGAGATGTTTAGGTCTGAAGCTAGAGCCCTTGTGAATGGCATTAGTGCCCTTATAAACAACAGACACTCCCCCCCCTCAAAGAGAGCTCTCTTATCCTTTTCTGCCATGTGAGGATACAACAACAAAATAGCCATCTATGAACCAGGATGCAGACACCAAATCTGCCAGTGCCTTCATCTTGGACTTCTCAGCCTCCAGAACTATGAGAACTAAATTTCTGTTGTTTAAGCCACCCAGTCCATGACACTTTATTATAGCAACCCCAACTAAGGCAGTACTATAGAAACATAATGGAAAGTCAGTAATCCTTTCCAGGATGGGGGTAGAGGAAGCAACATTTGATCAGGGCTTAAATGGCAAACAAGTTCCCAAGGTGACTAAGGAGCTTTCCAGGCAAAGAAAGCCTGAGCCCAGGCAGAAGCATGAACATACATAATTCAGGTACATCCCAGATATCTGGAGTATGGAACATAGAGAATGTGTTGGGAAGGGATTAGAAAGGAGCTGAAAAGCTAGGCTGGGGCCAGGCTGGTAAGAAAGGCATGCAGAGAAGACTGTAGTTTGAGGGGAAAGTTTAAGAAAGGAGAAAGGCTGATTTGGATTTTGCTTTGGATGGAGAAGTATTAGACATTTCGTAGGTGAGGAAAGCCAGTACAAGCATGTGCTTTCACATTTACTACTTCAGTTGATCCTCACAACAAAACTGCAAGGGTAAGCAGGACAGATAGAATTCTCTCTATTTTATAGTCTCAGATGAGCTAAGTAACTTACTACCCAGGACAAACTATTAAGTGGAATGGATCATCCAGCTCTTTCTAAAATACCATGAAGTCTCTCTGATCACACTGGAAAACATTCCAAAACAGTGAAAGGCCATAATATGAGGAGGTAGAATGAGCACAGGCTTTGGAATTTGTGAAACTGGGCTTCTAATCTACACTTACTTACAGAGGATTCATGTGGCTCAAATGTAAATTTATATGTACAAAACCTGATCCACAGTAGGCACTCGATAAATGGTGCATCTTACTCTCCTTCTCTTCCTTCAAATCCAAGCCTATTTTCCATCTCATCCCTCAAAACTCAGCCAAGCAGCAATAAAGCTAAATTGGGTGCACTCACCCTTAACTGCTTTCTATGAAAACCACCTGCCTCACTATTATTAATCATGCTTCATACAATTTTTTTATGGATGATCAAAGGCACATGCTCTGAAACTTTTACCTTTCAAAGGGAAAGAAATCTGGAGTCCATAGGTTAGAAAACACTCAGTTTATGACATTACGGGTTAACTAAATCTCAGAGAAAATAATATTTTTCATATAATGGACACATACCACATTCATTATCCTGAATACTAATCACTTGCTTTGGGGGACACACACACACACACACACTGACAGGTAAACTAATTTCCCTGCTTCTGGGGGTAGGGAGGGGAAGAAAAGAGGGGACTGACACCACCAAAAACATCCTTTCATAAAAGGACACTCTCTCCAGGACACTGTCACCTTCTGCCACCTACAGAACCCTGAGCTTTGCTTGGGTAAGAAAATTAGAATCCTTTCCCCTTTTCAGACTTTCCATTTCCCCTACATACACACTGACAAGTGTTACAGACCCCGTTGGGCATTCCAGGGCTGGTGCAGAAACACACACAGGGGCAGCAGAGCTAAGCTAATCAAAACAGTCTACAGTAAGAAGTAGCAACTTCATTTTTATATATATAAAGGCAGGTTACAGCCAGCAAGGCAATGAGAAGAGAAAGCAGCATGGTGTCAATAAAGCAGCACTGGGCTGGGAAGGATGTCTAGGGTCTAGTTCTCACACTGCCACCAGCTGAGTGATACTGGGCAAGTCCCTTTCCCTCTCTGTGCCTCAGTTTCTCCACCTAATAAAAAGATGCAAGGGGACCAGAGCCTCCTATTCAGTGTGGTCAATGGATAAGCAACATTAGCATCACCTGGAAGCTTGTTAGCAATTTAAAATCTCAGGCCCCAAACTAGGGCTACCAAATCAAAATCTGAAAATTAACAATATCCTCAGGTGATCTGTATATCCTTTAAAGTTTAAGAACCATTGCTCTAGGGTCCTTTTGACCTCTGACCTTCTAGGATTCTAAGTGGACCATAGCAGAGGTTGGTGGGAAAGCCAGAGCTTAAGGGGGTTGGAGGCAGGGATAGAAGAGAGCCAGTGGAGATAAAAGATATAAAAATGGAGTAAGTACATATGTGTCCATCCTTCCTCTCCTTCAACCTGTAATTCGAAAGACATCCTGCAAGTAGCATTTAAATATTAACTTAAATATTTCTGATCCCTCAGCACTTGTAGATGAAATTAACTCTGCACACTTTCATTCGTGAAAAGACGTTTTGTAAAAGTACGCTGATTCAGGCATGTGTATTAGTCGCTCCATCTAAATGCTGGGATCCAGTCTCGTTTGCTCTGCCCATCTCACCCCCTAATACACACTCCCTGCCCAACCTCGTTCAGGGTGCACTCCTCAGATTGCTGACTGGAAGGAGTACGAGACAAAATTTAGTCGCAGGGACGCTGAGCATCCAGGAAAGAGAAGACAGCGTGTAACAAGGGGCTGGAGTGATGCCCAAGGACTGACCAGCAGGCGACACAGCCAGACACTTGAGCCGGTAGTACAAGCCCAAAGACACCTACCTCACACCGAGACTGAGAACAAACAGGAAAGACCACAGACGCACCCCTAGACCAGGAGAGGCCAGTGAAATCAAAGAAGCTCCTTATCCTAGCAACCCAAGTCCATCTCAACCTGACCTGACCTCCAGCCAATTCAGTTGGGGATTTTGAAAACTACAGCCCTGAGGAAGCGCAGTGGCGATTGGCCAGCAGAGGGCCAATCAGCGTGCACAGCTGTTTCGTGCGCACGCCTAGCAAGGAGGGGCGGAGCTGGCTATTTTTAAATTGAACTCTGTAGCTAATGGATTTCGCACTGGGGCGTGGTTTCCAGTACAATTGGTTGCACCGGGCTGGGCTGACTTGCGGGGAGCACCGGGTGTCTTTAAAGATACTTTTTCATTTAAATAATCCTGCTGGAGGATGGTGAGAGCAGAGCAGCCATATAATGTAGGTTTAGACCTATTAAAACATTAATATTAATAACCTCTTATAGAATCAAGCATTAACTCCTGCAGATTTCACAAGTGGCCTTGTGAAGGGAAGCAGGGCAGAATTATTGCCCCTATTTCATGAATGAGCACCTGAAATGCAGACAGCTAATAGTACATTAATAGTTAACATTAATGCAGCACTAGCTCTGTACTACCTGCTATAAATTTTTTATTACTTTAAATCGTGTCCCCCAAAGCAGGTATTTTTATTATTGCCATTTTACAGATGACAATATTGTACTTTGCTAACTACTCAATATCACAAAGCTACATTATGGTAAAGTAGGTACTACAACCCAGATATTCATTTCATTCATACATTAGTTCAGTTGTTTAACAAATATTTATTGAACACCTGCTTTATGCCAGGAACTAGAAAATATATATATAAGTGATTGTCAAAGGATTTAAAGAATTTATATCCCTGCCCTGTCCTCTGAGGGAGCAAAGAGAAAATGGAGATGCCAGGTATAAAATCTAAGACTTCCTGCACATTCAGCAGGTACTCTACCACTGAACTACATCCTTAACTTTATTATTAGCCCATTCTCCTTTTAGTATCTTGTAGCCTCTACATTAAGAGTAATATATGATTCAGGCCCTCTTTTTAATCTCCTTAGGTTATCTAATTCAGATCCATGAATTCAAATATCATCTAAAAGCTGGCCCTAGACTGCAGACTCATAAATCCAAATTACTACTCCACATCTCCACTTGGATGTCTAATAGACACCTTGAATTAAATGTGTTCACAATAGAACTCTTAATTATCAACCCCCTCCCCAAACCTGATCTTTCCCCAATGTCCCCCACTTCAGAAATTAGTACCACATCACACCTGTTACTCAAGCCAGAAACCTGAGTATCATCTTTGATTCAAACTTTTTTCCATTATCTCACCTTCCCATATACAACCCTTAAGCAAGTTCTGTTGATTCCACCTCAAAATATCTTATATCCATCCACTTTTCTCCATCTCCACTGCCACCTAGTCTCTCATTTGGCTCACTGTCAAGAGCCTCCAAGCTGCTCTTCCCCTTTCTACTCTTACCCTTCCCTAATACAAATACACAACAAGAGTGATCTTTTTAAAAAAATAAAAATAGCATCATGTCCCTCTCTTACTTCAGTTGCTTCTCACAGAACTTAAAACCCTAACTCCTTACCCTGTTCTACAGGGTCCTGCCTGTCTCATCAACCTCATCTCATAGCACTGCCTTTCCTATTCACTCCACTACAACCATAATGGTCTTTTATCAAAGCTTTAAATGCACCAAACTTCCTTTCCTTGGGTATTTTTGCACGTAATGTTCCCACTGCCTGGAACATTCTCCCCTCCATTTTTTTAATTGCAAGTTTTTTGTGTGTGTGTTTTTTTTTTTATCAAGGTTCAAGTCTCAGTTTAAATGTCTCCTCTTCAGAGAGGCGTCGCCTGACCCATGTTATTTAAAGGACAATTCTTCTCCCATTCCATTATACTCTAGCTCATTTCCTTACTTTTTTTAGAGTAATTACAATTACAACTACAAATAACAATTACAAAATACTATTTGTAATCTTTTAAACATTTCTCCTTATTCAAGAATGCAAGGTCTGTAATGGCAAGGACCATATATATTGCACTCTATCTCCAGTGATTAGCATTATTGAAAGCTTACATTTATCAATTGTCTATTATATGTTTAACACTGTTCTAACACTTGTAACAATCTAATGAGGTCTTAATGTCCCCAATACCTGAGGTACAGAAAAGTTTAGTAACTTGCCCAAGATCACACAGCTAGTAAATGATCAGATTGGGATTTAAACCTAAGCAGTCTGATTCCACACAACAAACACATAACTATTACCCTATACCTACCTCCTGGATAGATGACTGAAAAATATTTTTAACTAAGAAATAAGTATCTTCCTTTAATGGTCATCACTGTGGCTAGGCGTCCCACTGAGATGCACTATAAAGGAAATGCAGTGTTAACACAAGTCACTCTAAGTCTTTAGGTGAGAGGAAAAGGTCCATCTATAAAAACAACAGCAACACAAAATCTATAAAACAAGCAATTTCGTTTTTCCTATTCTTCCCAACCTTTTACAAAACCAAGAAAAAGTTATTGAAAGTTGTGATTTTTCCAAAATTCCTTAAATTTACTTTTCCCTCAGCCTTCATACCTCCAGTTGACTTAACCATTCTTTGGGTAGCATCCAGAGAGAACACTGAGAAAAGAGAGAACAGTCCTTCAACTCCACATTTTCCAACATTTCTCTCCTCCCTGTTATACAACATTCTCTTAAACTCTTCTTTCTCTTTCTCCCTACACTCCTGTATTAAGATGTGATAGAAAAGATCTGTCATTTTCAACCTCACTTTTACATGAAAATATATTCCAGATGGATCTAAGATTTAAATGTGAAAATGAAATCATGGAAATACTACACATAATATAACGTTTTTGTAATCTTGCAAAAGGAAAAAATCCTTTCTGAACAAGACAAAAAAATTTAGTAGCTAAAAATGTTTTAATTTCTGTTTTGAAAAACAAAAAACAAAACAAAGTTAAAGAAATCTAACAACAAACTGGCAAAAACAATGGCAATACAAAATAACAAAAGAATAATTTCCAAAATGTACACTGAAAACTTTATGATCAATAAGAAAAAGATGAACTGTCCATCAAAAAAGTTGGCAAGAAAACAAATAGAGAATACAAATGGTTAATAAAAATGAAAATATGTTTAATTTCACTAAAAATGAAAACAGATTAAAATAGTAATGGACTATTTTTGTTTAAGACATTGACAAAGATTTAATAGATTGATGATAAATAACTTCTGTTGGTGAGGGAGTGGGTAAACATCGTCGATGGGCATAAAAACTGCCATAAACTTTGGGGTATTTGAAAATATCTATTGAATTTTAAATGTTTGGGCCTTTTTACCCATGTATTCTAATTCTGGTAATCTTTCCTATAAAGTCACTTATTCTAGAAATAAGGCTGGAAATATCCCAAATGTGGGAGAGACATAAACCTAGATTGAAGAAGCTAAGCAAACCCCAAATAGGATAAACCTATACAATTAATACAAAAACATATCATAATCAAACTTCTGAAAATTAACAACAAAGAAAAAAATGTTGAAAGCAGCAAGAAAGGAATAACACCTTTCTAATAGAAGTAAAAACTTTTGAATAACAATAGATTTCTCATTAGAAACCATGCAGGCCAGAAGGAGGTGACACAATGTTTTCTAAGAACTAAAAGAAAACAGCTGTAAACTCAGCATTCTATATCCAGAGAAAATATCTTTCAGGGATGAAGGGGAAATCAAGATATTCCTAGATGAAGGAACACTAAGAGAATTTGTTGCCAGCAAATCTATCCAAATAAAATAGAAAGTTCACAAAATAGAGAAAAAATTGGTAGTAGGAAGAATCTTAAAACATTAGAAAGAACAAACAATGGAAAAAGCAAAGTATAGGTAAATATAATAGAGTTTCCTTCTGATCCTGAGTTTTCTCAATTATGTTTGACAATGATAGCAAAAATTAGAACATTGATGTGGGTCTCAAGATATGTAAAGGAAAAGTATAAAATAGTAATATTATCAATGAAAGAGGGTAAAAAGATGTAAATGGAAGAAAGGTTTCTACGCCTTTCTCAAACAGGGAAAATGTTAAGTCTAGTAAAATGTAAAAAGATACGTATATACACATCTCTCTCTCTCTTTGTGTGTGTGTGTGTGTGTGTGTATACACACACACACACACACACACACACACACAGTAATACCCAGAGCAATCATTATAAAAACTATATAAAGAGAGACACTCAAAAACATTATCGATACATCAAAATGAAATTCTAAAGAATGTTCAAGGAGCTGACTGTAAGGCATGAAAAAGAAGACATAAAAATTAAAAACACAAGGAATAATCAGAAAACAAAAAATAAAATGGCAGGCTTAAGCCATAACATATCAATAATCACATTAAATGTAAATCATTTAAGTAGAGCAATTAACAGAGATTAGCAAAGGGAATTCAAAAAGCATATCCCCAAAACATAGTGTCAACAAGAAACCCACTTCAAATATAAGTTGGTAGAAATTAAAAAGTAGAAAAAGATATACATGCAAAACTTAATTTTAAAGAAGCAGGAGTAGCTATATTAAAACCAGATAAAGTAATATCAGAGCAAAATAAATTATCAGGAACAGAGAGGAACATTACATAGTGATAAAATGGTCAACCCACCAAGAAGATATAGCAATCCTAAATGTGTATGCACCAATCAACAAAGTAGCAAAATATGTGAAGCAAAGACTGATAGAAAACTGAAAAGAGAAACAGACAAAATTTACATTTATAATCGGAAGTTTCAACATCCCTATCTCAAAAATTGATTTTTTAAAAACAGCTAGATTAAAAAAATCAGCAAAGATACAGAACTCAACACCACTACCAACAAACAAAATCTAATTGACATTTATAGAACACTCCCACAACAGCAAAATACACATTTCTTTCAAGTGCCCATGAAACATTTACCAAAATAGACCATACTCTCAGTTATAAAACAAACCTCAGCAAATAAAAAAGAACTGAAATCATAACAAAGAATATTCTCTGATCACAATGGAATCAAACTAAAAATCACTAACATAAATAACAGGAAAATCTCCAAACACTTGGAAACTAAACAACACACCTCATGGATCAAAGATGAAGTTTTAATGCAAAGCTACAAATACACTGAACTGAATGAAA